ACAACAAATAATACACTAGCGAGGGCTGTTTAGCAACTTCCACCAAGCAGATATATATATATAAAATGGCTTATCACAGCAGCAATTCTTAAAATTGCCAATTTTTTGCAAAGAAAAAAAAAATAATAAGAATAATGGTTATAAGCAATAATTATTCATATTTGTATTGTTTTGTATAAATATAAGTTTTTAATAAAATATTTGAAAAATTAATATAAAAACCACTTGCTTTTAATTAAATGCAAAAAATAAATAAAATACTACGCATAGGTAAAAACATACATGTATATTTTTCATAAAACTCATTCATGACTTAGCGATCAACCCATTCCTAGAACAAAACGCACCGCTATTCAACACACACACACATACATTAATACACACACACACACACGCACACACACACACACACACATAGAAATATAAACACACTTTTTATAGATAAAGTAACAGCCGATTTTCAACAGCACCCAACAAACAACACACACACACGCACACACACACACACACACACACACACACACACACACACACACACACACTCACAACGATAATCGAGCAAAGTTGTTGTCAACAAGTTTACGAGGCAACTGCCAGCGTCTCCACTGAATAAGCCACCTCCCCCGCGGCCAATCGGCGAACGAGCCCCATAAACGGCCGCCCCTCCTCTCCCACACACCACCCCATAATCATGTGCGAGTTTCTTTAGCTTTTTAAGCATATCTTAATTTCGAGTTATCGTTGACTTCGTTTGTTTTTAGTTTTCGTTTCGTGGCGAGTATTTTAATATTTTATTTATATTTGTTGTGACGTGCCGTGAGTAATAACTATAGATATGCTCACATATATATCTATATATATATATATATATATATGCAAATATAGGTGGGCATCTATGTATGTATGCATAAATACCTGTATTAAACGTGTAGAAACCCGTATTCAATTTTTTGGCACTGTGGCGCTTTAAAGCACGCACAACTCGGCCGAGACGCCAAAATAGTCAAGGAAATCGCTTAAGCGCTCTTTATTCTATATATAATTATAGATGTATATATATAAATGATATGTCTGGCCATTTGTATGCATGGAACTGATGATCAGTCACTAAATAAGCACGACTAGAGTAACCAGCACAATCATTGAGGTTACGTTTGTTTCGCTTTATTTAAGGTCTGTGCATGGTTAATGATCGCAAGCTTTTGAGAATTTCAATTTTTGGTTGATCATTAACTATTTTCAATTGGTTAAAACATTGATACAATTAAATTGTTGTATGATTGCAATTAACAAACAAAATATATATTATAATTCAGGTAGAATGATCAAAAGTATAAACTGAGTAAACAGCATTGGATTTAACATTGTGCAGCATAATAAATAGATTAATAGAAGAGTTCGTAGAGCTAAATTTGTTTCATTCACGAGTTTCAATTGACAAGCACGAGAAAAACTTATTTCTATATGGTTCATTATTCGAATAAATCAAACTCTTAATAATAAATCCCACAGTTCAAAAAGAAGCTCGGATAAGCTGAGGAAGTTTTATATATTTGACTGTCGCATAAAAAATCAGTTTGAGCAGAAGAAACTTTCTTCGGGCTTAAATAAAAATGTTGCTGAACAAGCCACATAAAAATATATAAGATTAAATGATTTCTTTTCAATATAAGGTTATTAATGAAATTAAGACCGAACTGTTTATTTTTGTTAAGTTAAAAATATAAACACATGAACTGCACGAACTCTTTTAGAAAACGTTCAACGAGCGAAATTTATTATTGTGAGCTTGTGGCGCAATTATTTAATAACTAATTATATGTTATATAAATACACAAAACGGTGGTTATTCGAAATTGTTCAATATGCGAGCGAACACGACGAAATGCATGCAATTCGCTGTTTGTGCTCAAAGTTGAAAAACTACTGATACAATACATTTTATGACCCAAGCGCCTTTCATTCATTGCGCTCCAAGGCAGATAAAACTTATACTCAAGCTTTTCGATGTGTGTGTGTGTGTGTGTGTGTGTGTGTGTGTGTGTGCGTTTGAGTGAATGATGTGCTCTTTATTAAGAATGAATTCATCGCATGTGTGTGCACATTGCCACATAGCCACATAGATTTGTTTGCACTTCTCCACACAGATACAAAGATACATATTCGTACAGTTAAAGAAGCATTCGACATATGCCATATGCAGTTGCCATGTGCCTCTGGAATTATATTTATCGTATAACAAATCAGACAGACATACTGACACACACTTGGCACTAGCAGAGCAATAACAAGAGTACTTTAGTCGGGAGTGTCGGATTTGAAGATAACCTGAATCCAGCTTTAAGCGGCTGTTGCAAACATTTTAGCTGTCTTTTATGCTTACACACATACAGACATACATACAACACAATACCTATAGATCTTTTGATCTTTATGAAACCTCCAGGGCATGAATGTGGCCAACAAATTAGTGTGTATACCAAAGCCCAAATTAATAGCTGCGTTTTTTCCATTTCGCCATTTCCATAGGGAAAATTAATGATCTATATATACTAAACGATATTCGAATTGTATAATGCGAATGGTATAAGAGAGTACATATTTTACAATTTCAAATCGATGCGTCCAAATCCTGATCGGAGTTGTTTCCTTATGCCCTTTTTGGGACATTTATAACGGGTTCAGGCTATACAAATGCCAAAAGTAATCGTATGAGAACTGGTCGAAACAGATATAATTTTGTATCTTCGAATTTGCATATACATACGTGTATATATATATGTATATTTGCAATTGCGTTTAGCTTGCCTATTTAACTAAAAGACAAAAGACACACATATGTATATAAAAGTATCTCAAGACAGACAAACTGATAGCACAACCGATCTAATAGACGGACTGACTAACTGAGTGACTGACAGAGTGCACAAAAGACAGTGTGACAGTATTAACTTGATTTTCCGTGTGTGTGAAATTGAAATCAATACAATTCGCTGTACACAAGCTTAACACGCGTCCCAATACATATACATGTGGATATGTGTGTGTTGTGTATAGACCCTATCCCTATATACATACCTTATATACCCTTCTGAAGTATTTGTGTGCCGGCTTATCATTATTAAATACAAATTTGAATTACATACGACTTATCAGCGTGTTTCAGTCGATTTCTGTTGTTGTTTTTGTTGCTACTTTTGCTTCAATATATTTCTTGATTATTTTGTTATATTTTTCGCCCGCTTTTCTCCACCTCTTCTTTTCGGTTTTATACTCATATATATTCATATAGTATAAGGTATATATATTTGAATGTTTGCGCCGCGTTTACCTCGTAAACAGTTTTGTCAGCCTTTTCCAAGGACGGAATCTTTGTAATCTAACAAACAGATCTAGTAATCTTTAAAGCATTTTAAAAGGTATAACATCCGTAGCTTCAGTTTGTTTTATAAATCTTTACTTTGATGTTCCAAAAAGGATTTATGTTATAACAAACAAGCTTTTTGACCGTCTTGAGCCAGTTTTTAAACGAATTTCCGATAGGAACGTGTTCAATACTCATAGTAAAACGAGAATAGCTAAATTTGAGTATAAACCATATTTGAGTCACAGATAAATTAATTTGACATCGATTTAGGGGCAGCAATAATAAATAAATATATAATTAATACATCTTCAGAAAAGTAGCTTTTATATTTGGGCAATTTATATACTTAGAACTAAACTACGACAGAATTTGTTGCTGATTAAATTATGCCAAGGTATTCAAACCTAAAATTTTGCAGAAATCCGGTCCTAAATGTTTAAAGTATAAGTAATGTTTAAAATTGATTTATTATTATAATTATTTCATGTGTACAAGGCTGATTCGTTGGCTCTTCGTTGGGCTAAAGCTTTCTGAAATCGGTTGAGATTCACGAATATAGTCAACAAATTTGCAATCCATTTCGGGCTTAGGTGCAAAAATGGTTTATACTTTTTATACTCTCTATACCTTTCCATGGTGAATAGTGTATAAAATGTAGCTTTCAATTTAATCATTACACAGCACAATAAGATTGTAATACCGTAATACTCAAGTGATTCGGGTGGTATTCACGAATAGCTCGGAAATCGGAGTATATATAAAATGCCGATGTTATTTTCAACAGTTTAATCTACTAACTAATCATTTTGGTTCATTATAAACGACGCCACTATATTGTTTCTTGTTTTTCATTTAACACAATATATATATATATAATATATAAATATAGAATTAAAAGGGTATTAGCTCGTTATGTTGTTATGTTCATATGTGCTAAGTAACATAGCAAAATAGATACGAAAGACAAAAATAAAAACAAACACAGCCTGGCAGAAGGAAAAATAACATATGTTTATATCTGACTGAGTTATGTTTGTGTATTAATTGAAATTCGCTGATTACTCAGTTTGGCTTCAAATGTTCCTTTGATAGCCCTTCTAAAATCTATTCAGTTCCTACTGGTTAGACCTGTTAACTATTAAGCTATTAACTATTAAGCAAGCAGATATGGAAAATACTACATTGTTATTTAGCTAAGTATCTTTAAGATGGTTGAAAAGCTATTGCCTGGGTTTTGTCTTCAACGTCCGTTGACAGTTTTCAATTTAAAGATCTATCTTAAAAGGCAAAGCCAAACAGATCTTGTTTAGAAGTGCATATAAACCTATCAAGTTTATTTCTGATACAAAAAGGTATTACCTGTTGCAGTTGTCAGGCAACAATTTTAAATTCGCAAACACTTTTAAGAATCCAGTACATAGCCAGAAAATCACAAAACAATCGATTCACAATTTAAAAGGCAACATTATTGGCTTTATTAAGAACGTGCTACTGATCAGATTGGTTTCCTGTATGTTTGTGGATTTTTATTACAGAATATTAGCCAAAGACTGGTTTTCTTTTATGTTCTCTCTTTTTTTTTTTTTTTTTATTAAGAGCACAAAATTCCATAATTTATGACATTGTGCTGGCAAACATTGAAATTTATTTTGGAGCCGGCATTTGGAACAAGTTTTGCTTTATTCCTTCTTTATTCGGATATTCTAGGAAATGTGCCGAAAACTCGAATTGAAGCTCGAAGAAGCAACCCACTGCCGCGTGATATTTCTCTCTCTTGAAGTAAGTCTCCACCGGCTTATCGCCTCGAAAAAGAAAAAAACAAGAAAAAAAAAATTGTAGGGGCTTTTGAGTGTTGTGAATAATGTTCCAATGCTAATGAGGGCGCGCGCTTACTCATCGGTGAGCAGGGCAAAGAGGGCGACGGACGAGGAGGAGGCAGGTCAGCAGCCAATAAAAGGAGAGTAAAAATAGGCATAACGCATGCCTCAAATATGTATGCGTGCGATATATGCCACAAAGGCAGCACCAGCAGCAGCAGCAGCAGCAGCATTGGAAGAGGCTTAAACTTTTGTAGATACAAACAAGTAAAATGCGCTAGATAAGAGTGCACGACCATGAGCTACCCTGTTTCCCATGCAAAAACGTAAGCATATTAGAAGAAATTCTGTTTTTTTTTTTCAGACTTGGCTATTCTTTATTCAACGAATTTGTTTACAAGTTCGGTAAATGAATAATTATTTAAATTTCTGGTTTGATGCGGATTTATATTTTTGAATCGAACCGGCTCGTTAGATATGTCATATTACATATGTTTTTTTTTTTAATATTTCTTATTTTGGCTACAGTTTATGAAAATCCCAGACGCTGATGAAACTGGTAACTACGAACAATGGCAAGCTCGAGTTTGAGTTCGGGTCTTCACCTCGAGTTCCAGTTCGCGCGCGCAGCAGCAGACAAAGAGCAGCCTTTGTGCAGACACAGACACACATGCAAGCACAATGAAATTCTAATAAGAACGTCGAGCCGATCGCATTAGAAAAGTTCGAGAAAATATCGTATGGGCACGGAGCGATTGTATGAGAACGACATAGCGGAGCGGAGCGGGCGTAACAGGCAACAGGCCTGTCCTCTCAGTTGGTGAGTGCCAACTTGTTGTTTCCTTCTTGAAAATTCCGGTTCTGTTTGTTGTTGGCTGCTGTGAGGGGCAATGAGGGGTAGTTAGAAACAGAGAATGGGCGACAGAGGCAGACGTAATTAATGATCCGAAAAACGCCGACAGCAGCGTATTGGAGATTGTTGGAGACTACGAAATGCATGTCGGGCAGTTGTTCTCTTCGAAGAGACCAAACGATATACAGGTGCGGATTAGGGTCACTCGGCATGACGAAGACTGAGGAGTAGCCATAAATTGTGCGATTGAAATACAAAAAAAGAAGAACAGAAACACAAAAGTTGCATTCAATTGGGGTTCGACTATGTCAACTGCACTTTAAATTTTAATGATTGCCCATCGCATATACATATGAATTGCCAAAACAATGTAAACAATAATACCTCATATTCAAAAATGTATTCCATCGAATTTGTAGCATCGTTTTTGGACCTGTTCCGGGTGTTACCCTGAATTTGAATTTTCTTGCGAGCTTTAAGATTTATTCTAATTTAAACACTTCTATTGCAAATTCTGTGCCGGAGTTTCCCTTTTCGCATATAAATATAAATTTATTGTGTAATTAAATGTGGCATAAAATATATTAAAAATCAATTCAAGGAATTACACTCAATTGATTAAGAAACTAAATCGTTAAATTAGTGAGACATAAGACGGGGGCAATGAATGGAATAAACTCAACTAAGCATTCACAGTGCGGTTAACTGAATCATGAATAATATTTGAATCAGGCAGAAAAACTATGGTGGTTCAAAAGAATGTTGATTCATTATTATAGGCAACAAATTAAAAGCTTGATATTTGTGCTGAAAGAATGTTGAGATCAAATCAAATGAGTTATTGCTCGAAGTTTTGTAATATTACTGATGAAATTATTGTCATAATATATTGAAATATTTACCAACAAGAAGACAATAAAGCCAGAATAATTATTTATATTTCAGTCATTATATTTTCAATTTCCAATATTGTTCATTTTTTAAAAGTTTTAATACTGTTGTCCTCATTTGATATAACATTTTGTGTGACTAATACATTATGGAATATTTGTGATTGTTGTATTTATTTTTAGTTTATTTTATTGCACATTATACTAACTAAATCTTGACAACTTATTTTAAATATTCAGTTGAACGACTTTATTGTAACTATTAGCAACTAATAAATACACACATGGGTTATTCCAGTATTTTGTTAAGCCTGAAACTGTAAAAAAAAAAAAACAACATCAAGAAACACACACACATACACAAATACACACACGTGAAGAAAAAGAAACAGATTATTTACAGGCTCCAATGGTCGAGATGTGGTCGAAGAAGTTGGTTGTAATACAACTGCTTGTATTTGTAGAATGTGGCGGCGAGTCGGAGCAAACGAACGAATGAGCAGCAACAACAACAACAACAACAAAAATAAACGTATCGACAAGTTACACGTACTACAAACACAACCACAAGAATGACAGGAGCTACAGAAAACAGCAACTAACGCAATGTGGAACCGGTTCAAACTAATACAAACAATTGTGTGTTTGTGTGTGTGTGTGTGTGTGCAACAAATCTAAACAAAATGACCAAAAGCCAACAAGAAGATGAGACAACGCAGCAACAGCAAGAGAAGAAAAGCACCAAGCAAAAGGAGTGCGAGAGGCAGCGGCAGCGTGTTTACGAGGCATGTGTGTGTGTGTGTGTGTGTGTGTGTGTAATCGCCGCCAGCGTCTCTCCACACATACATGCATACAGACACATATGTGTGTATGTATATATAAACGCTAAAGTACACAGAGAGCATGCGTTGGCAACATCATATAATCAGCTACCTTTTTTTTTCGTTTAGTTCATTTTACGCGTTTTGCTTTTCATATTCTTGAACTTCAAAAAAGAAAAAAACACAAAAACGAAAAGAAAAAAAAATCGAACAAAAAGCCAGCATAAAATAAATATAAAAAAAAATCAACAACAACAACAACGACGACGCGACTCTGTCGGCAGCCAAGCTGTCAGACAGCTACTGGTGTTAAACGTACATAGTACATACTATACTATAGTATGTAGTAGAACAGCAACAGCAACAACAACAAACACAATGGAACACAAACACACACGCACACGCACACATACATGCATACCAATGGCCACAGGCAAGCGTTCACTACGCTGCGTATACGCGACGCGTCGCTGCTTATCGACTCTTATTTTTTTTTTCGACTGCTGCCGCTTTTGCTGTAATTTTGTTGTTATTGTTGTTGCTGTTGTTGTTGTTGGTGGTGGTGGTTCCATCCGCTTTTTAATGCAGCTAATGCTCAAGAGTGCTTGGATCTTGCGCTGATTGCTGATGAGATCTGCCAGCCCATCGCCAATGGCTAGAATTCTTTTGGTGCCCTTAGCACAGGCATTACAAATGATATTCAACTGGAAGAATTCCACAAGGCAGCCGAAAGAAGTTGACACCGACGTTTTAAGTATCCTATTCCAATTAAAGTGTTGAAACGAAAGTTTTGCTTTTTTGCAGCAACATAAAAAACCAAACGATTATTGTAAAATGATGGCCCGTAATAAATAATTTTCGCAGCCTTGTTATTTTGGCATATGGCTTGAATATGTGAGTTCAGTTAACCGAGAAAGTATTATATAACATATATTGAATGTGCAACAATTATTAACGATACATATTCAGTTAACCTTTATTTAAAGTACGACGTACGTTTTTCATAAAATATCAATAGGATTATTTTGACTTTTAGCCTGATTCAGCTATGTTTAAAATATGTTACATTTACAAACTTCACATTCTGCGATTCCACTAGCAAGTGTCAGCTGTCGGTAACATATGAATGCCAAAAATTGACGAAGTAGGGCCTCCATTTGATGGATTTTTAGCGGGATTTGAGCATCTTTAAATGCTAATAATTGTGCGATTATTATAATTAAAAATTAATATTTAAATTAGGCATGTTGCAAACTTGATCATATATCAAGTAAAACCCGAACTTTCCGATAGCTGCTTAAGAATGCATCATTTAGTTGATTTACTACTGTCTGCCTTTGGCGTCGGTTCTCTTGCTTCTTCTTCGCATCAATCTCCAGCATTGATGATGATGATGATGATGATGATGATGATGTTGTTGCTGCTGCTGTTGGCCCCATGATGCCATGAGCATTTGGACACGAACATGGAGTTTTCGTATAGTCGCTACAATGAAGCTCATATACATAAGACCATTACAAATGTTATTTTTATTTTTTTATTTTGTATTTTTATTTCGGATCTTTGCAGCGACTCGTTTTTTTCATTCGTCTGTCTGAGCTTTGTCTTGTTTGGCTTTGGGTTTGGTCAATTTTAAGTTTTTTATTTGTGATGGATTGATATTGATGTTAAGCATAAATACGTGTGTTTGCGTATGCGTTGGCTCTAATGATCTCGTAATGCAAACAATAATCTATTGCCGAGGATTATGTGAGAAATATTTTGAAACAAATATATGAAAAAATGTTTGAATATATTTGTAAGTCTAAGAAGACAGCTTCAAGGTTTAGGCCAGATTAAAGATTGAAATCTTACTAACATACATTTGTTTACATTGAGATAAAAAATGCGGAAATTATCTTAAATTATGGGAAAGCTATTTTATTTATTTTTTTATGTTTTACTTAAAGCTTTTTATTTGGAAATATATCCGCAGCTCTCCTTGATTAAATCACATTAAAAACATACTTGTTTTTACTTTGTCCAATATAAGATTTACTTATTTTTTTCTCAGTGTAGTTGAGAAACTTGCCCCTAGCCATAAGAAACGCACTTGTCCTGCCATAATTGGCCCAACTACCACAAACAGAATAAAAACAACAACAACAACAACAACAAAAACAAAAAACTAGAAAAACGTGCGCCGTATAATAAAACTTATTTCTGCCACCAAATCAATTTGTAAAAGAAAAAATAGCATAAATAAAACCAATTTGTTAATCAACAATTTCCAGCCGTTGCAATACCAAACCTCATCAAGTCTAAATAAATATAAGCAAAGATCGTAAATGTGTTTCAAAGTAAATTATTTATTTATTTTACACTTTTCTAAAAAGCGTGTATATTTGTGCACTGACTATTTTATTCATTACTTCTTTTTTTACTGTAAGATATTTTGAAATACAATACAAAAATAATATTAATTTTGTGATATTTCTGAGAAACTCGATTATAATTTTGCTTGTTAGAAAAGTTGCTGGACCTTTATACCAAAAAGTTTAAGAAATCCTTACGACATTCGTAAGGAATGGACTCTTAAATTAAAGAAGATTTCCGACCACAAATATCTTTCAGTGTTAGCAAGAACAGGGTATCTGGCAGTCTTTACCTTTCGACTGTAACGTTCTTGGTTATTTATTGTGCAAAGACGACATCGGCGATTGCGCCGAGTGTCGCTGTCGGGTCTGGCAATTGTTTTAAATGTTATCGGTGTGTGCGAGTGTGTGTGCAAGTGTGTGTGTGTGTGCCAATTGTGTTTATGTGAAACAAACAGTTTTTGCGGGCTTCATTAAAATTCCTAGAAACTCGACCACTCCGAATGTTCTCTAATTACAAACAATTTCCATGCAGCAGCAGCGGAGGCGACGGCAGCAGGCGCAACTGGCAAATTGTGGCTATTGTTTTTATTTATTTTTTCATGTAGTATTTTACTTTTTTTCATTTTTGAATTGCCAAACAAAAGCATCGCCCACACACACACACACACACACACACACACACATAGATACAATCACATAGATATGTACATACACAGAAGAGTCAATAAAAATAATTAGTTCCCGAGTGAGAATAAAAACTCAAATAATAAATGTCAATTAAGCACGAGTTGCGGTCTTGTCGTATATGCCGTTACTGGCGCATATATGCACCGTTCATCGATTACAACTCAGTGTCATTGTTGTTGTTGCTAAGTGCGTTCAGTAATTTGCTGGTAATTATCACTCACGCACAATCAAAAGTAAATTAGAAACGGGAGAGGGAGAGAGAGAGAGAGAGAAGAAGAGAGGGCGATACACAGTTGCTGCAGCGAGTGAGTGCTAATTATACAGGCACTTGCATACACTTGCACACGTGTTCGTGAAATGAGTGAGCCAGCACTTGTAGAGAGCGAGCGAGTGAGTTGCACCGTGGTGCGTAGGCTGGTGGACAATGTTGATCGCACATTGGCAGGAAATTCATTTGCATTGGCCTCTAATTGCATTTGTGTGCATTGTTGTGTAATTGTCAGCTCAATGAAAAATTTAGATATATCTATTTACATATGTTTGTATAATTAAAAATGTAGAATCAATAATTCAAAGCATTCCGTTGAACATACATATGTACGTATGTAGATTTCGATGTAAATAATCTGTACATTGTTCAACTTAATTTTTAAGAATTGTATTTAATTTTATTGTCAAGCTGAAAAGCTTCTGTGACTTTTGTTTTGCGCTCAATATTATGCGAAAATTGTAAAGCGAAAAAATAATAATGGGAGACACAACAACAAGAGAACAAAAATTAGTATTGTTGGTATAATTTGTATGTCAATATAGTAGTGAGTAGCAACAACAATAGACATGTTAGAATAGCAAACGATTTCTCTCTGGCCTGACCAGCTACAACACAAAGCAGATGCACTATGGTCACTCTATTTTAGCCAGCATGAGTGAACAGGCGAGCGCGAGAGAGTGCGAGAGTTTCACAATTTACGCCTGCTTATTCCTGTCTGTATGTGTGTCGCAACGCAGAAATGAATGAAGCGAGCGCCAAAGCCGCAGTCGTTGCCGCTGCTTAACGTAAGAGCAAGTGCTCGTGTGTTGTGTTTGTGTGTAAGAATATTTTCGCGTGTTGAAAAACAAAGTTATGAAATTTTCCAATTGGCAATATATACAACACCAGCCACGACAAGGGCAAAGAGAGCAAACTAGCCCGAGCGAGAGAATTGTGTGTGAGAATTTGCGCTTACCGTTTTGCTTATTGACGTAGGCGTCCGTTTGCTGCTGCTTCTGCTGACTGCGTATACTTTGGTAAGTCTGTATGTGTGTTTGTGTGTGATTCTTTTCTTTTTTTTTTTTTTTTTGTCACTCGTGTTATTTTATTTTGCCAGGGGCTGGTTGCGTTGTGGTTTTTGTTATGCAAAATGGCATAGAAATTTTATTTCACAACTCGCAACACTAACACATTATAAATTATTAAATTCTGCTTCGGTTGCTGCTGCAAGTATAATACGAACACAATGCACAGTGTGTAAAATCGATGAGTGTGTGTTTGTTTGTATTTTATAATATTTGTATTTTATTTTACTCGTTCGACTCTGCCGCGCTGCTCGCGTAAACGGCAAAACAAAACGACTGCGACTGCGACTGGCACAGCGACGGCCACTTTACCGTGAAAAATTTTCATTCATTGAGGAAAATTAAAACGAGCGGCGATAGAGAGAGCGAGCAAGCGAGCGAGCGAGGCACGACGACGACGACGACGGCATGCAGCTTGGCTGTGTGCGTGTGTGTTTGCGCTCTTTAACAGTGTTGCCAACTCAGCAGCGTCCAACGAAATGCTCCCAAAACGAGGCACAAGCATTTAACATGCAATTTGTATAAAAATTAAATGTTAATCGCCTGCACACACATTTCCTTTTTACTTTTCGTTTGCTGATTGCCGAGCAGCGTCACCGCCCCCGCAACAACGCTCACAGAGCGAATGAGAGTCTCAGCTCTGGTCACACAACAGACGGCGCGTCGACGTTGGCAGCGGCACGTGTGTGTGAGGTGTTTTGTAGTGTGTGTGTGTGTTTTTGACGTTTGCCTAAATTTCTTTGCTCTCTCACTCTCTTACACGCGCATTTCGTTTTTGCTGCTCAATTCGATTTTCCTACTGTTGTTGTTATTATTTAAATTCCTTATTAATTCAATATTCAGAAGTTACCCACTGCATTAGATTACTCGTAGTTGGCGCTTATTGCTCACTAAAAGCGTTCTTTCACACATACTCATACAGGCACCAATGCAAATTACATTTCTTGTTGCTACATTTTTTATTTGATTCGTCGATTTTTCGATTTTTGTTTTATTTTTGTCGACTCGCACGTTGAATTTGTTGCTTATATGCACTGCAACTGCATATGTTGTTATTTATGTATATACATATGTATTTTGAGTTGCCAAGTGTTAGCACATATTCAAATTGTTGCTAACTTCACATACAAAAGTATGTTCACACCACGGATGTCTCTAGCAAACTAACTCGCAGTGGCAACTCTAAGCCAACATCTTGTGAAATCCTCAGACGGAACTGAAAATACCAAAAACGCGTCGAAATATACTAAGCGCGTATTTTTTAAGGTAGCCCTGAAAATATTTTCAAGTATTAATATAAGTGCTGCTTCACGTAAAATATTAAAAACTTTTAAATTTCAAATATTTAAATAATATATTATTTTTAAAATTATGCCAAGTCCAATTTTACAAATTTCCTTCTTTAAACTCTGTCTGAAATATGTCTTAGCACATATGGCAACGCTGTCAGTGCAAACAAAAACGGCGGTTTATTCTAAATAATAATATTAAGCCTATTTTTACTGCTCCTTGGAAAAAAATTACATATAGAATTATAATTAAACACACGATTTCGCATATAAACTATTTTTCCATTTATTAGTAATATAGGGATTATAACAATAAGCTCACTTGCCTTGCCGGGACCACGACGAAAAAGTGTGACCGTTGGGCGAAAGCTTGAGGTTATCAAACTTTCAACGGACAACAAGTTTAAATTATGTTTTCAATATTGTCAATGAAGATAATTACTTAGGCCTTAAAAAAAAAGTATAGCAATATATATGATATACAGGCAAGAATATGTACTCATTATTTGTGTCTTATGCTCTTTTAGGTTTTACAAGCTTTAAGAGCTTTTGGTAAATAAAATATTGTTAATTTAAGAAAATTCCCAGTTATGTTTGCAGTTAATTTTCTCTGTCAACACTGACGGCTGGTGATCAACGCACTGTAGTTACCTTTAGTGAAGAAGGTGCACATTAAGACGGGGCTTAGAATCATCATACCCTTGTAGAGGGTATTATTATATTTTTCTCATAAAATGTGGAACGCATAGAAGGGTATATCTCCGAAAAGTGTATATATTGTAGATCACCATCCACAGCCGAGTTGATATAGCCATGTCCGTCTGTCCTTCTGTATGTTTCTATGCGAAGTAGTCTCTCAGTTTTAAAGCTATCGCCTCGATACTTTGCATAGGCCAGTCTTTCATTTGCAGGCAGTACATAATTCATAGCCGACTGAGAAGTAAGTAATCGGTAAATCTCCTAGTTTTATGAGCTGGAGTCACAAAACTTGACATGTAGCTTCCAGAATAGTATACATATATCTAGCATCTTTCATTTTATATACATATATCGCAACCTTCCCGCTACCATCACATAGCTCTAGATCAAGGACAAACTCCAATTTGTGATGCCCACCAATTTGAGGCACAATTAAAATTCGATTGTCATTTTGAGAATATACAAATATTCTATCGATGTACAAAATTTCATGAAGATCGTTTAAAAAACACAGAAATCATTGAAGAAAATGTAAGAGGTTCTAGTCGGGAGCTCCCGACTAGGCCATACTCTGAACCCTCTTCTTCCAACATCAAATGCAGATAAATATTCTATTTTAGAAGCTATATGTCAAGTTTGGTGACACTAGCTCTTATTATTTACCAAAATTGCCCAAAAAACAGGATATCGATATCGATATCGCTTGGAAACGGAAAAACTTATCGATTATCGGAAACAAACTCGATCTGCGCAGGCACTAGGAGCACCTACATACCCATTTTTAATGAGTTCAGGGTATAAAAGTGCTTTGGCTGGTAGCAAGCATTTCTGCATACATTCAATCTATTAACATCATTGCAATTGCGATTGTATTGTTTTGTGTGCTGCTAATTTACTCCGTTTTTATCAATAAAATTACATGAATGCTTAAGCATTTTGTGTTGGAAGAAGACGGTTCAGTGTATCCCCTAGCCGTTACCTCCCAACTAGAGTCACCCTACTGAGGCAAGGGAATGCTCGAAAAAGCTTAACACAGGCAAGTTAGTGTGCTTATACACTGCGCGTCATCAGATTTGCATTTGGGGGCGCTAACCTGATGACGCACAGTAAGTGCAAGATTTTTCGCCGAAAATAAAATAAGGTAGCAAAAAATATATTGAGCTGTGATTGGAAAAACAAAAAATTGAGGAAGTTCCATGCAATAGGAAAAAGGTATTTGCAAAAAGAAACGAGTGTAAGGGGGGAGGGGCTAATCTGATGATGCGCAGCGTATTCATAACATTTTGATCTTCTGGCTGAGCGATTCGGGCTCTCTATTCAATCTCGCAATTCCCAAATAACCGCACACATGCTACACATAATAAAAATATCGGCACTCACAAAATGGAAATGCAAAGGTATTCATCACATTTGCGCCAAAGTTTAGAAATATTAAACCGCTTATGCGAGCCACGCAGCTGCTGTCTGCGCATTTATTTCGACCTGGTGCAAACAGCTACGGCATAAATTACGCATACGTCATGTGAGCCGTGTGAGAATAAACAACTTTACACCTTCGTTGTGTTGTTGTCCCTGTTGCTGCTGTCGCATCTATTACTGCTTGTTGTTGTTGTTGTTGTTGTTTTTGTTGTTGTTATTGTCAACTTTTGACTTTTATTAGGGGGCAAAGGCAGAAGGAAAAAATGTGTGCCTATTAGAACTTGGACGTAAAGTTTAATGAGTCACAACGAGTAAATTGCTCGCAAGGAATTGTTGCAAAGTAAAAAAAGTTTAATTTATCAACGTTGACAAATTCGATTAGGCAATTCTCTCTCTTTAACTGTAGACCCTATAATTCTCTTATTTTACAACAGGCCCTAGAGGGGAAACCCGATTTTCCAAATATTGTGAGGCGGCAATTATTCAAGAAATCTACAATCTGAAAGATTTCGATTGGAAAATCCTCTATGTATAGAAAAATGTTTGTCTTATTTGATTTATGTGGTGAAGGAGCACAATGAGGCGGGACTTTGGAAAATTCCATCAGCAAGTTTTGGTTTGAAACTTTATTGCTTAGTTCCGATTGGTTTTAGAAGCATGTTCAATTCATTGGAGGAATGTTTCACGCTTTTCCGAAAATCCAGCCCTCCTTGGCATAAAAAGGTGTCAGCAATTTGGTGGGTGAATTTTCCGGTTCAAATACATTTCGATAGAGTTATTATGAAAATTCATTTGAGACGTGTTTAACCATTTTTACGAAATCCAAGCTTCATTGCTGCAAAATGCAGACGAAGATTCCTTGGGTGAAGTTTTAAGCTTTTCATTTTCCCATATAAGAAGTTGTACACGTATTCAAATGCTTCAGTATTTTTCGAAACTCCATCCGCAAGTGTATAAATTCAAATAGTATAAAAATGGGTCAGAAAACATTTGCATCCAGTTCCTTTGTTTACCATTGGATCGGCTTCAAACTAGTTTTTAGATATATTTGTTCAAATTTATTTGCTGGAAAATGCGAGTCAAAGGTTAAAAGTTTATTTATACCGCTTCAAGATTCTCATCAAAAGATAATAAAAACGGGCGGAAACTGTTGATTCCAACTAATTTTTCTATATTCAATTAATTTTGAGCATATTTTCTGTTAAGATAGGGCGAAAATTTAAAAAGCATTTTTTATGAATTTTGGCACAACTCGCTAAGTAACATATATATGTTGATGAATTTTATAAGCATTTAACTTTTTTAAGTTCTTAAAATTGTATATAAGGAAATTCAAATTTTTCAAAATTCCAAAAGCAAGCTCAAATTCGATTCTTCCTTCTCTTTTGATCGATATATCGTTATTATCTATATATTCTCCATAGCAGACCTGGATATGATAAATATTATACTCGAATGTTTATTTTAAATGCTTACAAATTCGACTCCTTTTGGTTTACATATCCTAAATGTAATTGAAAATAATAGTTTAATAATTGAAAATAATTGCTTAATATTAGACCTTAATAGACCTTGAACCACTGCGCAAATAAAGTCAAAATAATCAAATGAAAAACTATGAGATTATTTTTAATTTCTGTTCCCCTCCACATTTCCGCACTTCTATTTAACGAAAATTTTACGTGAGATAACAAAGTTGAGCTCGTTAATGCTGGCAAAATACAAAAAGGGTAAGCGCAAACATAAAAAGCACGCAAATGTGAATTGATGGTTTGGTGTGTGTGTGTGTGTGTGTGTGTGTGTGTGTGTGTGTGGGGGGGGGGGGGGGGTGGTATTTAAAATAATAATCATAATTTGCTACACCTGTCATCAAGTTTTTATGTGCCTCGTTTACAACGGCAACGATAATGTTTTTGGATAATTCTCCATGAAAAGTAATATGTAAAATTTTCAACAATAAACCATTCAGTATAAAAAAAAAGCCAGCAAATGTCAGCTTGTGTTCGCCTTGGCCCAACACATTTTTCGCATTTAGTTTTGGCATGAAAAGCGCATGTGGAAAAACAAACGAGGCAAGCCCCAAGGAAAAGTTTGGACTTGGGGTCGAGAAATTTGTGGGATATTACTTTAAAACAAGCAAAAATAGAAAGGATAATAATAAAACGCATTAAATGAAAGAGGAACTGAGAGAGAGAGAGAGCACAGCAATGCAAATCTAATAGTTTTACTTGGATTCACGAATTTCTCATAGAGGGGCGAGAGGAGAGGGTGAAACGCTTATAATCAAAGCATGTATGCACTTAAATTCATGAGAGTAGCTAAGGTTATATTTAGAAACTTCCTAATTATTTTATATATGTTAAGTGCAGCACTTCCAAAAAAAGATCAGATCAAAAAGGACATAAACTTTTTAAACGTTCAGGCCTTAAAGAACTTTCTCTATCCACGGAAAGCCAAAATTTCCGTTGGCATAAATAGCTTCGAAATATTATCTATAATTTTACCGTGCCAGAATATCCCCACATATAGTGTGGAATGCCAATGTGAAAATGGATCCTACTAAGCCATGCACGTATATAAACAGCAGCTCTACCTTTGTTAGTAAATCTGCTAGCGAAAACTAAAAGCGAACTTTAGTTAAGATCTGCTCAAATCGAATATATTAATGGTGTACCGTGGACCAACCCGACGGGAGGAAGGATTGACGGGTTGAAATTTGCATTGTAGCGCTGACTGGGAATTA